CTCTCTCTCTCGTCTCTTCCACGCGTGAGCGTGCGCGCGCGCGAGAGGGACGCAGTGGGTCCGTCCACGCGCCAAGCTCACGCGGGCACACGCAAGGTGAACACTTGTCCGTTTGAACAGAACAGCACAGTCCGCACTTCTCAGAGTCCACAAGCACCAGTGACAACCCAAAATAGATCTGATTTTGCTTTTACATTTGAAAACATCTCAATTTTTTAGTCGTTACTTTGTCAAACTGGGTCCCCCTTTTTCCCCAACTTAAGCAAAAAAAGTCAAAAGGTAAAGTTACGAAAAGAGGGAATGTATTTGTTGTGTAGTCAAGTTAGGAAGACGATTATTGTCTGTCTTTTCTACGTTTTTATTTTTACATTAGGAGTTGGATTAAATTAACGTAAACCATATTCTAAACAAGTGTACATCCATAGTGTTGCCCCAAGAGTCATCTGGCTGTAACTGGGAAATATTTTGTGGCCTTTTCTTAGAGGGAGCACTGCGACAAGACAAGGGTGTCAGGAGTGTGAGTACTTTTACCATCTCTGCTGTAATGGAATAAAAATTGAAGTTTGGCCTGATACGTTACAGCCAATCTTGCCAAAAATCTGCATCATAGTACAGTATAAAACTTGTAACTTGTAATGCCCGGACACAAAATTTGGTCGACTATTCTTGCTTTAGAATTTCATGTCAACGACATGTAGCATTCAAGCACATCTACTGCTGCAATGTTCGGTCTGAACCTCTAGATGGAGACAAACAGCAGTAAAGGAACACACGCGCGCCCATCAAAGTGAACAAAGTGCGAGATGCCAGCGCCATCAGTTTCGCTACTTTTATTTTATAGCATCTTGGGTACAATTTAACCAATGTTGAATTCAAGGTTGGCCGTAACAGGGGCGTCTAACCTCTCCTGTCATCTGTCCATATTGCAGGTTAAAGTACCCATGACATCTCCAACCAAGAAAGAACCTGAGATTTGAACCAATGTCTTTCATGATGTTCTACTTCTGATCAAAGGTTAGAGTGATTTTAGGCTCCAAACTGTGTCGGGGTGATGTGGGCCGGACCCCATCGTTGAAACACCGAATCAGACGGATTGGATGAGATAATTTCCCGTGGCACCCTTTATGATCTCACAAGGCACACTAACGTGGTTAGGAATCACAACACTACAACCCAGCAAGTGGCACAGGATTGGACTTTGTTTCATTTTGAGGCGAGGAGGAGGGGGTTGCGTCTGTTCAAATGCTCAGGAGATCCTGGAGGGAGGCGGCTACAGCTGGTGTACATCCTGTTGGGGTGGGGGGTGGGGTCTTAATCCTGCAGAACTAGATCCTGTAGACAACACTGAGAACAAAAATTAATCCAGTCCTTCACACAACCTAATGTCTGTATCATTTCGAGAATCTTTTACAGGCTGCTTCTTCAAATCACCACTGAGGTAGGTAGTGCTCAGAAGTACAAGCAACAGATCTACTTATTGTAGTTCTATGTCCACCCCCTCCCCCCGCCAGCCCCCTCACTTCAAAGCTCCCCTGCCCAAAATCCCTCCAAACGTAAAGCCCATCTTCACACACTCGCCCTCACACGTCTACTGTGCACTACTGAGAGACATCCTAGAAAGGTAAGAACAAGCAACATCATCTCTGTCCATTTAGATTGATTTCTACTTGCGAAATGTATGTTCAAGTTATCTCAAGAACAGTAAAAACACTTGATTTTAGTCCAAAATAAGAACTGTCCACGAATATAGTGTTGCTCTGTCAGCAGTACAGTAATTCTCTCAAGCCGTTGCATTGCTCTCTATCGCCTCTCAAGATGCAGTCCTGCCGACTTTATTTGGGGACAATCGTGATCTTGTCGAGCGTTGTCCCGCCTGTCACGGCGTTCTCCCGTGGTGCGGGTCCTGCTTCGTGCCAGACGATGAGTCCGGGCCACATCCGGGCCCAACCTCAGGACCTGCAGCAGAACCACATCACTATTCGTACATCGGTGAACTCATATCTGCCTGGACAGCTGGTTACAGGTAGTACTGACCATTCACTTGGTGACAAATGATCAGCTCAGTGATTTCATCCGATGGATGATGATGATGATGATGATGATGGTTCGACAAAGGTTCAAAGGCTTAAACAAGCTCCTCTGTCCGCAGTGACAGTCCGAAGCTCTCGGGACTTCATGGGTTTCCTGCTGCAGGCCCGCAGTGGTGACGATTCCCAAGTCATGGCTGCAATCGCAGGTGGGGCAGGGTCCCCTGCGGAGGGTCCGGTTCTGGTGCGCGGCTCCTGGACCCTTGCTCCGCCCGGGACGCACACACTGCGCTGCCTCTCGGAAGGCGACACGCTCACCCACTCGGATAAACAGCTGAAGCGAAACCTGTCGTTTGTGTGGAGGGCTCCTGATGCACCCGTGGGAGACATTCGCTTCTAGTGAGTCCACAATCCACACCCACAGTTTGCACATTTCGTAGACAATGCCCAACGTTCACTGTGGACTCTTTGTCCTTCTAGTGTCACAGTTGTTCAGTCGTACTTTGTTTACTGGGCGGGGATTAAGTCTGCAGTGGTGCGTGATGGGAGTCAAAGTCTTTGGACTGGGAGAAACACGACAGGAGCAGAGACAGAAGGATCAGTTTTTGGTCCCCGTGATAGGAATTTTACTCCGGTGCCAGGTACAAACATAAAGATCAATGAATTATCGTTCTTCACATGTATTGTCATGACTAACACTCCTTTTGGCCTCACCTTTTGGCCTGAAGCTCCACTGAACAAACCAAGCCAACCCACCGGTCCTACTCCGTTTGGAAAACCAAACTTTACTCCCAAAACGGTCTGGAGCAGAACTGCAAGTCCAGTGGCACTCGCAGGGAACCAACAGGGCCAGGGGCTTGGTAAGAACAACTACTCAATACTTCAACATTCAAGAGGCCTACCAAGTGACAGCTACCCGGACATAGGATCTCTGGCTGAAGAGTCAAGCAGTGATCCTTCCTCATCGCACCTCCCTTTCATCACCCCGCTCCCACCAGATGAAGGTATAGAAACGTTGTCCACTTTTGCACCGAATGTCCTTCTTCACTCCCTCGCCTCCCTCAGAAATTGGAAGGATACAGAATCAAGGATGTCAACACCAAATCCACGACAGCCTCCAGAAAATCACCGTGTCTTTTACACGAGGTCCTCAGTGCCAACATTCTATAAACCAACAGGACCACGAAATGTTACAGCAAGTTTGTTTGCGTATGTCATCCAAACCAGATTGTCCACATCCCAAAGGAGTGACGCGACACATGAAGGAAGGGGCTCATCTTTGTCTCCGCTTCATTCAAGGTCAAACGCTGACATCGACGGGTCTTCCACCCAGACAATTTCCCACTCCAGACCCTTTTTACCGACTTCTCTGAAGCCTGCAGTACAAAAGTTGCTTCTCCAGCCCCATACCAAGTCCGAGGATAATCCATCCGACTCCAGAGATGGACCATCACGTCCTCCCGCGAACTCTCATCAAACGCTGCTGCACACATTTGTGTCTCAATCTCAGACAACAGTGAGCTACACCTCAAAAAATCTTCTCCCGTCTGACAGAGCAATCGAGGCGCCAAGAACTAGACCTCAACCGAGGTCCAAAGCCAATCTCCAAACTGTGTCACCCTACACATCTACAATGTTGAAGAGTGTAAGCATATTTGATTCCTTCGGTTCTTCTTCTCGGGATGGTATAACTCAAGCTTCACCAAGCCGCAATACTCTTGACGTCTCGAAACGCACAACCAAGAATCTATCATTCACACATTCCTCCAGCCAAGACAAATCGTCTCCTGTTTTTTCCGCTCTCCCAAAACCTTCTCCCGTGTCTATGCCTCCCAAATCGATCTCCATCATTCTGTCCTCCACTTTGCAAACGGGGTCCTCCTCAACATCTTCAAAATTTCTCTCAAGTAACTCCATCAACTCTCCATCATCATCACGAGCCACATTCTCTCCTCGTGGTCCATTCAGTTCTTCTTCCATCCCGGGAACCACAAGATCCTCCTCATCTTCTCCTACCACCGGCACTCCAGCCATCTCATCATCCTCATTTTCAACCAAACTATCCATTCCTTCAAGTTCTTCCCTCCCGTCCCCCATTTCCACCTCAATGGGATCCTTGTCTTTGAATTGGTCCGCCTTTCCTTCCTCCCAAGCGACATCCCTGCATCCAGGACCTTCTCCGGCTCCACGTCGCTCCCTCAACAGCCGCCCCTCGATACCTCCCCTACCTTTGCCATCCCAAAAACAAACCCGCATTGCATCATCTAATCCCAGACAAGAGTTTAATCCATCAACCTCCAACCGCAAAATCGAATCCAATATTGGAAAAGAACTGAAACCAAATCCACCCAAACTGGATACCAAGCTTCTCTTTAACCCCTCGAAAATGCCAGGCGTAGAGGGCAAGTATCCAGAAATTGTGCCCAGGCATAGCTCTTGGGAGCTGGGGATGCTGCTGGGCTGTTCGGCCGGCCTGGGAATGGCGCTGGTGGTCGGCGTGCGCTACGTGTACAGACAGGCCTGCGGGAAACGCACCGAGATCACACTGCACGACAGGGAAAGAGATTACGGGAGAGGCGAGCGAGGGATGATCCATGTTCAGGAGTGTGGCGATTTGGTCCGAGTCCGTCGAATCCGAGAGAACAGCCTGGTGCTTCTTGCCGAGTACGACATATTAGCATCGCCTGGAGACTGAGATCCAATCCAGTGTGGGAAACAAAACAGTTTGGATACTCATTTAATTCCTTTTTTTTTTTTGAAAATAGATGAACTTTTCAGATTATTTCCGTAAACCCACGATTAAAAAGACAAAGTGGCAAAAGTAGAGTGGCACTAAAAGTAGAAACTCTTTGGTTGTAGACGGAGAAATGCTTTGTGAATGTTCATAGCGTCGGACACATGAAAAGGACAAATTCTGCCTAAGGGTCCATGTTGAGTCATTATCACTCGGATTAAACATTCAAGGCTACAAATCATATTAAATACAACATATTCTAGCCCCAAGACTCTTGTAACAATATCAAAACTATTGTAACAAAGTTCGCATTTCCTCTCAGTAGTGAAACCTGGAAATGTAAGTGAGTAGAAAATGTAGAAAAGACAATCCGAAAAAGAATGGTCCCAGCAACACCACGTGTCCGTCATCAAATATAAAACATGTACCTTTGCTTCTGTTCAATAAAGAAGAATAAACGTTTTGGTTTTTGCCATTGTGGAGGGCGGTAAAGCAGCAGTTGGTCCTCATGTCCGTCCCCAGGCTGAGGTCGGTGTTGATTGGCCCCAGTAAGGCACATGATCGCCCGGTGATCTGCTCACTTCCTCAGACGGGCTGCAAGCTTGGCATCATCTGGAACCACACACACAGGCGAAATTTAATGTGTCTGTGCAGTCATGACAAACAAAGATATCTTAAAATAATAATATGAAATCAGAAAGTCCATCTCAACCAAGCAAAGCAATTAACCCCCCCACAAGAAACTTTTGGAGACATCGTCTCACGACAGAAATATCGTTTTGGAAACTTATCTAAACCGTGTAGTAACAATTAAGTTGACTCTAATCAATACCAAAAAGTCTGGTTGGACTCTGAGAAGGAATAAACACGAAGAGGGGCGCTCACTTTCTGGCGGTTCGTCATCCAGCTGCGAATGGTCGGCACCAGTACGGATCCGAGGAGGATCTGGGCCGGGTGGTAGATGAGCAAAGGGACCGAGATGAGCGACAGATGCTTGTAGCCTGCGAACACGATCTTCAGCATGGGGATACCTGCACAGCCGCAGAACACGCATCAATCAATGGCAGCCGCATCTTGCTGTTAGCGTAAACTATAGCACCTACCGAGCGTTAGCGACTTGTGCGTGGAGCAGAACATGATGGCCACCGTGTCGGCGGGACTAAATCCTGAGCCGGATCTGCGGACAAAATAAACCACAGGACGGACAATGCCTTGTCAGGTGTTGTATTACTTTGAAGATGGCTAGAAAGAGAGCCGCACTCACCTGCTGGAAAATCCAAAAGTGAGCAGTAAGAAAGTCAGCTGGATAGAGAAAACTGCAAGGAAACGGGGGAATCACACAACCTTCTCAGACAAACCAGAACTTGACTGAACTGAGCAATTGCACACAGAAGAAACCCCCCGCCAGCATACGCAATAAAACGTGAAAAATATTTTCTATTTAGTCTGTAGCCCGGTGGTTGGGGATGTGCGCGTACTCACTGATGAAGACGACCATGAGCAGGCTGGTGGGTTCCAGCTCCATGTTGGCATTGCTGAAGGTGTCGCAGAAGGTGCTGTAGATTATCATGAGAAGGACGGCGCTGCTGACGGCGCCGAACGGAGGCTTCCTGCGCTCCAAACACTCCCTCAGGAAGCGGCGGCAGACCTGTTATGGGGGAACACCGTGAAAACGCCGCTCGCCTCGCCCACAAGGTTTCCCCGGCGTACCTGACCCACGACGAGCGGCACCACCACCGTCATGAAGAGCTGAGAGAAGATGGACCCAAAGGACACGGAGGATGACGAGCCCAGCTGGAGGATACATTTCAAAATGGCACTTTTTACCTCCAAAGCTTTTGTGAAAATGGTCATAATAAAAAAAAAAAAACAACCCCCCCCAAAAAAAAGCTCAGATCTCAAATGATCTTTACGCATTATTATGTTATATTGTTTTCATTACAGATGGCAGAGTATTAATACCAGGTATTGGTATTGGGCCCTTACCTTCTATATTTCAAGGTAAGTACGCCAATACCAGCCACCGATACCTAAGGCAAAAAAAAAAAATCTGACATTGACTAGGTCCTCCTCACCAGTAGTTGGCGCTACACTTGGGCAGTTTGACACATTGGCGAGTGATCATGCGCATCATAAAGGAAGGACTTTGTTCACGATCATCTGTCATTGTGCTAATTGAAACTTTATGTATCAAAAGTATTATTGGTATCGGTACTCAGTGAATAAGGAACTTGCAGATCTCTGCGCATACGTGAAAATCAAGGTGAGAAAAAGAGAGGCAACGAAACAAAGCGGTTTATAGGGCAGTATTTCGGTATGTCATGTGACAAAACGGTAGGTGCAATTTGTGCCGCTTGAATGTTGGTGTTAAAAAAAACAAAAAAACAACCCCAAAAAATGATTGCCGAGCATCCGTTGTTCATTCACCACAATTTACCGACAGAAAAAAAGATTCCGACGGATGGATCAGATGGACTAAAATTGTAAATTTCTTGAACACCTTTAATCAAATTCACAATTATTTTGTCAATAGCTTGAAACCGAAACGAACACACAGTCGCTAAGTACAGGAAAAAAAAAAAACTTACCGGACAGCAAACTAATGAGGGACACGACATGCGCTCAGCCCGACAAATACATGAAGTGTCATCATACAAACATTTCACGTTTGTCCTGTCCGGTCGACTTACAAAGAGCAGAAGCAGGGTCGGTGTCACCATGATACCCTGAACAACATACAAAAAAAAAAAAAAAACACGGTTACACAGCACTACACACTCATGACAAGCGCCGCGCCACTCGAACCTTACCAGGAAGCTCCCGAACGCAGAGTTGAAGATGGCAGCCGCCTGGCAACACAGACACAATCTGTCACCATGGCGACGACACATTGTTTCTCACCTTGAGGTGGGTCTTACCTCGTTACCGCCGACAGCTTTGGTGAGAATGACGGCCGAGGAGACCGGAGGTGGCATGCAGCTCACCGTCTGTAACCTAGGCAACGGCACGAGGATGAGGACCATGTTACCAAAAGAGCTAGGATACTTTGAATGTAATGCATGAATAAATGACTTTTTTTTTTTTTTTTAAATAGTTTCTCTATGTCGTGCATTTTCACAGAGTGAAAGTGGGTCTAAAGCCATTGCTCGCAATGAATAGTGGTCCACTTCACACATGACCCCCCACACCCTCCTGAATAGCTCGCCATGAATGAGACTTTTGTGTGTACTTTCAGGTAAAGTCAACAGTTCTTGGATAAAGGAACGCATTCACATACAATCTTACCCTCTGAGCAGCCATTGGTCGATGGTGGTCAGCGCCAGCACTCTGACGAGCAGCCAGATGGTCAGCGGGAAGAATACCAGCGTGAAGGACTGAACGAAGAGGTGAAGTCGCACGTGAAGTAAAGCGCTGGTCAACTCCTGCAAACATGCAAACCACAATAAATTGAATTTGCTGGTCATGTTTTCACATTCTCATCAGGGGATGTCACCTCTGTCTTCAACGAGAGGCCGCTGTTGAAGAAGATCAGCGAGACGGCGAGATAAGAGATGGTGATCTCGGGCTTCAGCGGTCCTGAGGCAGACAGAGAGAGACTTTGAAGGAAGAGTGGTCACTACGGTAACCACGGAACCACCCAGCCACATTTCTTCATCCTGTTTCATTCTGAAATTCTGTATGCAGCAAGGCAACATGGAACACTCAGTAGCAGGTTATCTTATCTTTACGAGACAAGGATAATGGGCCGTAGTCACTGAACACATCACACTGTCGCTCCTGTCTTCCAGGATGGCAAAAATGATTGCTTTGGCAAATTACGAACGCGATAAGTTATCTTATCGTCACAAGAGACACTTTCACCGGCCGTGATCCAAATGTGACGTAGTGAGAGAATCGTGTGTGTGTGCCTGTGTGTTGTCATTCGTGCCGAACGCAACGTGTCACCAAACCTCCCTGCACAACGTCCAGATGCCAAGCTTATATTCAATTTGGAGAGATACGCCCATTGTATATATTCCCGAGTAATATTTAAAACGAATGGTTCAGATTTGACCTCGCCTTCAAACCATGCAAATAATTAAACGGAATTGTGAATAGTCCTTATTAAAATCAACAATTCTGACAGTGGGTGCGCAAGGTAGCCACGTCTGCAAACTTAGAAGTCAGATAACACGGTGGGGGTTCATTGACGTCGTACAAACATCCTGGTCTCACCTCCTTTGGCACCGAAGCTGGGCTCCACTTTAGCCGACAATATCACCAGTACAATCCCAATGATGAACCATTCCTTCCGTATCGTGGCCAGCAGACCCATGTTTCAGCGCCGGCCTCTTCCGGATCACCCGGCGGGCCCCTGAAACGCTAAACGTCCAGTGACGGCTCTCTTTTGGCAGCTCTTCTTGTCCACACGAACTCGCTTGACAAGAGTTCGTTGTCGTGATGTCAGGAGTTCCTCAAACGCAGCTTTTTCTTCTTCATATAAATGGCGGGCGGCATATAACTTCTGAGGTAAAATACTGCCATCTTCTGGTTAAAGTGTGCATCGGGCTGCTTCCGGAGTGTTCATTGTTCCTGTGCGTTTGATGCTTCTCTCTTCTTGGATGTCAACTATTGAAATAAGTGTATCCAAATTGGATATTTCAATAATTTTTTGAATATTTCAATAATTTTAACTCGTGTAGTTTCTCTCATTTCGCCTGATTAATGGAGTTACATTCGGAGTCGTCCTCTTGGATTATTTATTGACGGCACTTCCCGATCCCAAAGTGTGGATTGAAATACTATGATGTAATAATAATAATAATATAATAATAATAATAATAATAATAATAATAATCATAATAGCTTAGATTTATTTTGCTTTGTTAGTTAGTAACTTGACAACTGCAAGCTTCTCAATGACAGACCAACAAGTGTTATTCATTACATACATATTTTTAAAAGGAGGGTATGTTTCACTGAGTCAAGAATGTAATAATATGCTTAAAACGAAAGTAGTAGTAGCGACATACATGCAGACATCCATACAATCCTGCAACCCGTGACTTGCTATGAAAAGTAAAAATCGACAAGTAACTTGGGACAAGTCAAGGTACTACAGTCCATGATGTGTCTTAGGTATTGTCTACACGTAGGCGGGTATTCTGCAAACGGGATATTTTCTGCAGTCAACGTCTTTTTGATGGATACCCCTGCTTAGTTCAGCAAGCCAATGCCAAACAACATTCCGCATGTGTTTCAATAGCATGGACTCATTGAAAAAGAGTGCTGGTAGTAGACTGGGCCGCCTGCAGTCCAGACCTGTCTCCCATTGGAAATGTGTGGTGCATTATGAAGCGTCGTCTTGACATCCTTGAAAAACATCATTGTAAATGTGCTGAAAGACGCACATACGAAGGTGGTGATGTGGATGCGTTTTTTTTTTTTTTTTTTAAACAAACGAGCCAATGTGGACCGAATTTTTTTCCAACACAGTGAGTGACAAATTTTCAGTTTTAAAAAAGCCCAGCTACATGTAGACCAGGCCTAATAGTCGCACACTCCAGCATTGTCACTGGCCTCATGGAGTCCTCTTGACACTTTCCAGGCCAGAAGACGTGACAGGGCGGCCGGTGCGGTGGACTCCACGTCCGCACTGTACTTCTCCACAATGCAACGGGTGTGAGCACTGGCCAGTGACACCTGAACAACACCAATGGGAGGCAAAAGTGCACACGTTCTAATAGAATTACAGATATTTTTGTGAAGAAAGACTGTGATAAAAGTAGAAGTACTGATTTGACTTCTTAAGTAAAAAAAAAAAAAAAAGATTCTGAAATGTAACGATATATTGTACTGACTACATACCTGAGCCTTCTGCACCAAAGTCACGTCCCCAATGTCACAGGCCACGTTGTAACCTTGTAGCAAGCTCTCGCGAGCTCGGTCATACTGCCTCTGCAGGAAGGAAGGGAGAACTGCAACATGATTTTGTGAAAAGTGAGTGTGTGTGTGTGTGTGTGTGTGTGTGTGTGTGTGTGTGTGTGTGTGTGTGTGTGTGTGTGTGTGTCAGGTAATGTGTGTGTGTGTGTGTGTGTGTGTGTGTGTGTGTGTGTCAGGTACCCTGTTGGTGTAGACATTGCCCAGACATAGGCATGCGTCGACCAGGTGGTGATGTAGGCTCTTGCTCCGGGACATGTCAACTAAAGTCTCCAAAAGCTGGATGGTGTTGTTGATATTTCCCTTGCTGAAACACAAACACACAAGCAGTCACCATAAAAGTTGGGCGGATGTAATTTTTGGGAGAGTACCTTTCACATAACTTGGCCACGGCCTTGTAGGCTTTTCCCAGGCCGTCGAAATCCTCAGTGGTGCTGCAGATTTCCATGGAGGTGTTGAGGTACTGTAAAAAAAAAAAAAAAAAAAAAAGAAACACTCACTCACTGTCACACATACTCGTTCCAGACACACACGCTAAAGCACACACCTGTTCGGATGTGTCAAAGTCGCCGACACTATAGTAGGCGAGTCCAAGCTGATAGGCGGCTTCCCCTTCAATGTGTTTGTTTTCAGCTGCAAAAGGTTTTGTTTTACAACCGGGATGATGGCAAGCGTGTGCCGCGGCGGCCGACTCACATTCAGTCGCGGTGGTGTAGCCTCTATGGAGGAGCTCGAGAGCCTGGTCGGGATCGCCGGCCTTGATGCAACCGTCCGCCTGGCGGCTGTATATGGCCCACAGGCTCTCGCGGGATCGGCGCGGCAGGGGGCGGCCGGACGAGTCCAGCCAAGCGCCTTCGTCGGCCATTCGCACGCACAGCTCGGCCTGCTGCCTCGCTTTGTCCAACTGACCTGCTTGTGCATGTGAATTCACTTTTTTTTTCTGACATACCGTGAATAATGGCAAATAATTTGAATTCAGAATGAAGAAGGTGAATTCAAGAGCATCATTGGCCAGGTAGAGAGAAAAGGAAGGCAAACAGGTTGTTGAAACAAACGAAGGAAGGATGCAAAATAAAAGGGAACAAAGGAAGATGGGAGGGAATGAAAATAAAAAAGCGATTTAAGGATGCATTCATTAAAAAACATGGGTGTGATGGAGGCAAGCTAGGAAGGACGGTGAAGGAAGTAAGGATGAAAGGAAAAGAGAAAAGGAAGGAAGGAACAAAAGTAAGTCAAAGAAATGGAAGGAAGGAGGAAGAAGGAAAGGCAGAAAGAAAGTATGAATTTATATTACATAAATTTATCTTAATAAATATTGTCTTCTACTTTCTCCCTTTCATAATTTTGCTGCTGTAAATTGGGAATTTCTCCATTGTGAGACAAATAAAGGTTTTCTTTTCTTAAAAGGACGTTTGGTTGGAAGGAAAAAGGATAGAACTGGTGCGAGGTAAAGGAAGGCGATCAAGAAGGAAGGTAGAAAAGAAGGTTTAAGCCAAGGAAGAAAGGTTAAAGGAAGGCAGAAGGAGAGGAGAGAGTAAATAAGGAACAAAAGTAAAGGGAGAAAGTTAGGAAGGAAAAAAGGAAAGGACAGCCCAGAGGTGGAAGGAAGGAGGTCAAGAAGGAAGGTAGAAAAGACTGTTCAAGCTAATGAAGACAGGCTGAAGGAAGGCAGAACGGAAGGAGAGAGGGAGGAAGGAACAAGAGTCAATCTAATCAAAGGAAGTAAGGCAGAAAGGAAGGTATGAGACAAGGCAGGCGGCCACAGGATGGCGAGACGCGCACCTTGCTGTAGGTAGAGCTCGGCCAAGCAGGCCCGTCCTTCGGTGGCGTGCCTCATGCATCCGTCCTCCTTCGCGTCGGTGCACGTGTGGTAGAAGTGCAAGCTGAGCCACAGGTCCTCCAACTCCGCCGTGAAGTAGGCGCCCAAATGGAGTCGCTGCTCGTACGCCGCTGGCCAGCGACCTGCGGGAACCATTCGTTAGACTTGTACCCCAAAATGTCGAAACTCAGAAGAGTGCGTATGGGCGCGCGCCAGTACCGTCCCGTTGGGCCTGCTCGGCGCGGCTCAAGTGCAAACCGATGCTCTTTATTTTATCATGCTGCTCCTCCAGCGGTGTCTGAAGACTGAGAGCCGAGTTGATCTCTGCCGCCTCCCTGCGCTCCTGATCCAAGCGCAGCAGCAAAAAGAGCTCAGAGAAGGACCTGGAACAGAGCAGCGGCTGCACAATTATGACCTCAATTTGCTATTTGGCGACAAGGCGCTCTTAAGTGGCCACGCCTGCCCAAAGCTGTCAAGTTGGCATTTTCTTCCAAAAAAAACAATCACATCTCATTGCTCCTCCGCCTTTCTCCGTGTGATATGCACACACTTACAACCAACAATGAGGCGCTCTAATACACCCTTACCAGCCCGAAGCCCTTGTCTGCAGACTGACTATCAAGTCAAACAATAATTCCGTTTCTTGAACAGCTTTGCTTTCCAGTTCACCTCCCGCAATCACGTGAGATATTTTTTCATCCTCTCTTAGGTTTGTCACAGGAAAACAGTTTAACGAGCAAAACAAGCATCTGCACGCAGCCAGTCATGTGATCATCGCATAAACTACCTGTGGAAGCCATGTTCAAGCAGGCCGACGCAGATGTTCTGCTTCCGACTGTTGATGAACCTGTGTGAAGGGACACACGTCAAATGGAAAAGAAGTGGCTTGGGATCACCTCTGCTGAAGAAATTGGTGCGAGGCTTGCAAAGTATGACGCCTCTGAGGCACCGTAGTGTTTCAAAATGCACGCGCTTCGAGCTTTGTTTGTTGCATTCTATTAGTTCACCACTAGATGGAACAATATTCTACACACTTTAAACAAAGTGGCCGATGGGAAACTAAATGGTCACCATGGCGACCAAACTCACTTTGCGATATCTTCCTTTGAGAGACTCCGTGCTGATTTATCTGTTGTTTGGCCAGATTTCCTACCAAAGACACACAGAATGTTTCATTAGCTTCGGCCGGAGTTTCACAGAGTTCGTTCTGTATCTTAGAGCTTTAGCACGTAGTTGAAAAAAAAGATACGTTTGTTGATCATTTTCAGACCAATGTCACGGTTTTAGCTTACTTGCTTTTCTGTCTCCTAATCCTCGAGGACACTCCTGGTAGTGAGTTGCCTTCCATTCTCGACTGTCACTTAACCTGTAGGGAGGACTAATATTTTAGAACGGAAGCATGGAAGGAAGGAAGAGAGGAAAGAAGGAAGAAAGGTAGAAAGGAAACTTTAGATTTTTTTTTGCGTAGTGCAAGACCCTTCAGGCCGCCATGTACAGTATAGAAATTCGAAATAACAAGTACCGAGCAAGACTTCGTAAAATGGACTCATAACCCGTTCTTTACGATTGAAAGCAGACTTAGTACATTTTGCTTCTTTTCTCTTAACTGTGGTAGCCTGTGTTAGTAGCGCAACCCTGCTTGCCCTGGCGACAACGACGTGCAATAGGCGTCTCTGGGAATTTTCGGGAGCAACGACGTCACCAAGGAGCCCTGTTTTCAGTCAAATGCGAGTCTGTATGTTAACCTTTTGGAGTCCTCTGTACTTGCTAGCGCCCTCTAGAGGCTGTGACGTACACTACGTCACACAACAAACAAACCGTTTGTTGTTTCACTCCTGCCATCAAATAAAATTAAATTCTGTTACTCATATATTGCTATTATTTTATCCACATATATTAGAGCCCAATACTTAATTACGGTTGTTTGTCGTTTGACTGCAAATTTTAACCGTTTTTTAAAAAAATGTACTCAGATTAAGACGATACAGAAAAGCCCCGGTAAATATGATTACAAAAACAAAGCAACGAGGAAAATCTATTTCGCTGTCGTAAACTGTCTTCTGCACGTGACTGAGGTAACGTACGTGACGCAGGGCTGAAGCAGAGCGCGCGCGCGCGCATCGTGCCCGCGCGTACAATTGTATCGATGGCGATTGATTGATTCGTTCGCTCGGTCGGCCGGTGGTCGTCGGTCGGGATCGCATGGCGGGACCCGCGAGGAGGTTACGACGGTTTTGGGCGGGTGACAGAAGAGGCGTTGCCTGGTAACAGAATCCGCCAGCAGCCTCCCCGTCACGAAGACTACAGGCCCGCCAGCGCCTCCATCAACACAAGCTCCGACGGTCAAACGTATGAAATATGCACAGAATGTACTATTAGGCACTCCTTGTAATAATTAATCCAGTATTTTAGGATCTGTGCCAGTTGTACGGAACCCAAGATATGAAATTATGTCCAGTTACAAATGTAATGTGCGTCAAAACAGCTAATTTGTGGTCACGAAATTGATATAATGAGCACACGAAATACTCATTTATAACCACAAAGTAGCTGTGCCTCCGTTTTTGACAGGTGGTATGCAAATGGACTGCCCATGACATGAAAATAGAATCACTTTGGGCCACAAAACGGTGAACGAAATGAATCTTCTGATTGAAAAGCTGTCATGCAATCTAGGTCCCGAGATGCCGTGCTCGTGCACCGAGTGGCGGCGATGGATCCGTCCGCTGGTTCTGGTCGTGTACGGCTTGCTGCTGGCGGCTGTGGTGCCGCTGTGCGTCTGGGAGCTGCACAAGGACAAGGTGGGGGAACTTCGCGGGGGATATCTCGATATACGACCCCTCTGAGCTTCTCAGGGCATCCGCGTGTGTGCGTTTGTGTGTGTTTGTGTGTGTGTTTGTTTTCAGGTGGGGACACACAGCAAAGCGTGGTTCATCGCCGGCGTCTTTGTCTTTCTCACCATTCCCATCTCGCTGTGGGACATTTTGCAACACTTGGTGCACTACACACAACCGGAGCTGCAGAGGCCAATCATCAGGTGACCCCCACCACCCCACTAAGCAGTTATCCGAATATTCGGTTCTATTCTGTCCAATTTTGGAATTGGCATGAAAATAAATGAATTTTAGTCAGGCCCTAGTCGCCATGGCAACATGTAATAAATTATTGGCCTTCAGGATACTATGGATGGTGCCCATCTACAGTCTGGACAGTGTGAGTCAAAACATACACGTTCGTCCACTTTTCCAATGTGTCCCCACAATGTGGCACACTGATCCTTTTTTTCCCCTGCCTCCTCAGTGGCTGGCCCTGAGGTATCCCAGCCTGGCCATCTACGTGGACACGTGCAGGGAATGCTACGAGGCGTACGTCATTTACAACTTCCTGGTGTTCCTTCTCAACTTCCTGAGTAACCAGTACCCCAGCCTGGTGCTGATGCTGGAGGTGCAGCAGCAGCAGGCTCACCTGCCGCCACTCTGCTGCTGCCCACCGTGGCCCCTGGGAGAGGAAGAATGAGCGCGGTGTGAAAACAACTTTGCTGTCCCATCAGAGTGCTGCTCTTCAGATGCAAGCTGGGAGTCCTCCAGTACACTGTGGTCCGGCCTGTAACCACGGTGACAGCACTGTAAGTTCTCATGCCACACTCCGTGCTGTTGACAAAGTATTATCTCGCTTCAAATGTCCCTAAAAGAATACAATTCATCATGGCTCGCACGCAGCATATTCAAGTTTAAAGCCAAAGACCCACAAGACTGTGCGAATGTTTGAAAACAAGTGGCCGTTTATGTTAAGTGAAATTCATGAAGACTCAATAGTTTCCTAATAAAAATAATTACTGATGTTAAGTTAAAAAAAAAAAAACTTTCTTACATATCACTGTTAAAAATGTACTTCCAATTAAGTCTTGGCAGAACTGCTCAATGTAAAAGTTTTGACGTTAAGCAGCGTTGTTGGTATTTATTAAATGTAACTAAAAGAGTACCTTATAATCTAACTTTTTTACTTTTAAAATCAAGTCATCGGTAACCTCTATTGACTTTTAATCTCAAGTTATCAGAAAAGTAAAAGTTACTTTTTCAAGGTAACTGTCAACACTGGTTTAAATTTTATGGTCTAGTGATTATTATTTTTGTCTGTGGTTGCTCTGCAAAACTTCAAGATTGCAAGGTTCTCCTGAAGGTCGTTGTCATGGTGACAGTCTAACATAATTCCAGTAGTAGCCACGGCAACAACGCGGCACGATTTGCTACCATTGTGGTGGCGACACCGCGAACTGCTTACCGAAACCATGACGAACCGGCGTTGCATATCCTTGGCGTCCCGCAGGGTCTGTCAGCTGTGCGGCGTTTATGATGAAGCCAACTTCAGCTTTCAGAACGCCTGGTCCTACCTGGTCATCATCAACAACATATCGCAACTGGTAAACGATTTTGTTACTTCGATTCAAGGATTACAGGATTTGATTTTTGATCAGTTTGTGTATGCGCGTGTGTACGTATAGTTCGCCATGTACTGTCTGGTGTTGCTCTACCGAGCGCTGAAAGAGGAGCTGACTCCCATCAGGCCTGTGGGCAAATTCCTCTGCGTCAAACTGGTGGTGTTCGTCTCCTTCTGGTACCGACGTCAACTCTCGCGTTAGAATTTGTCATTCATACAGCACTTGATGTCACCATGGCACATCGGGATTTGGATGCCGTGTGCGCAGGCAGGCGGTGCTGATCGCGTTCCTGGTGAAAGTGGGCGTCATCTCGGATAAACACACGTGGGACTGGGCCAGCGTCGAGGCGGTGGCCACTGGGCTGCAGGTGGGCACAAATGAATCACTTGAATTTACGCGGCGATGTGATCACAATGCTCGGATGCTTTTCACCTGCAATCCAGGACTTCATCATCTGCATTGAAATGTTCCTGGCTGCCATTGCGCACCATTACACCTTCACTTACAAGCCCTACGTGCAGGTACGCACACGCACGTTCCTACATGTACACACACACTAACGCTGGCCATATATCGAACGATGCACGCAGGAGGCAGAGGAAGGAACGTGCTTGGACAGCTTTCTTGCCATGTGGGACTTCTCAGACATCAGGGCCGATGTCACTGAGCAGGTTCGCCATGTTGGTAAGTGCGTGACCTTTTGCTGCCATTTAAACTAGAACAAAAACAACAAAAGCAAACCATTTACCTCCAGGCCGCACCTTCCTGGGCCGTCCGAACAAGATGTACTTTGGCGCGGCCGCCCGCCCCGAGCACAGCGAGCACACCGGGCTCCTATCTCACGACCACTCACCAACGCGAGCGGCGGATGCTCATTAACAGGCTGACATGCAATGCTTGTTTCTCAGTCAAAATGCATCACTAGGACATATTGCCTTGCTACCAATTCCCTTTTAGACGGGGCACCGTCGGATATTTCAGAGCAAACAAAAAACTGAATTGTTGTAAAGGTGAGCTCATCCCACTGTATACATCCAGGTAGGTGTGTGTGTGTGGGTGTGTGTGTGTGTGTGTGTGTGTGTGTGTGTGTGTGTGTCGCATACACATATAATAAATAATAGTGCTATATTTATGCCTGCTTGTTTTTTGTGCAATAAACAATAAGGTGAAAATCAAACTGACGTGCCATGTTTACTTCAATTTTTCTATATGTGACACTTTGATTTGAATGAGGCGATTCGGGCCTCTGGTTCCAGCATTCAAGGTCACAACGTCTCAGTTCTCTACTAAAAGAGACAAAGAAATTGTTTTTAATTTGGAGAGACACCACACACTACACCAGGCATGCACGTACATGTCCTTTATGCATACACTTAAGACAGTCATCAACATTCAGTGATGAGTAAGAGGTAGGCAGAGCACCAGGATATGTTTTTTTTCTTTCAGGGCAAAAAAAAAAATGGGAGTGGGGGGTTGAGAAAATAATTTATGAATAAATGTATTTTAAAATGTCAAATAAAATGCATCACTAGGACATATTGCCTTGCAACCAAGCTTAACTGGACTCTAGCCGCCCTCGTCCCAGTGTAGCGCTATCCTTGTAGTCCCGGGAATTGCCTGAGAAATTTGATATTTTATACACACATGCATGGTGTAAATATGGACACAAATACAGAACACAAATCATACACGCACTACATACAGTATAAAGGCTACATTTCTGGAGATCTCAAGATCTCTAAATAGAAATATTTGAAATGTACTGTACAGGTGTGTAGCTCTAAATGCATCAATGGAGCCCGATTTGGTTTCCTCGGGCGTTTGCCATTTTTTCAATATTTAATTGGCTGAAGTGACAAAACTGGAACAAGATTAGGGGGAGGGTTCGAGCGAGATACACAAAAGACGTGGAGAGAGTGCGAGCGAGACAGAGAGAGGGAGAGAGAGAGAGAGAGAGAAAGAGGCAGAGAGACAGACAGCGAGAGCCTCGGAGGAGGGGCGGGAGCGGAAGCTCGTTGTGCCGGCGTCCCCTCTCTGCTGCAGCGGCCGCGCAGCTGCTGCGATCCGGAGCCCCGTCGCGGCGCATCCCGCTACGCGCTCGCCGCCTCGCTTCTACATCACTAATCCCCGGGTAGCGTCCTGACTCGACCCGGTCCGGTCCGGCCGTCGTCGCGGTGCAATCCACATGCAGCCGCCGTTTCAGCCGGAAAATACCGGAACCTGCGCACCGGGGAGGAAGGGAGGGAAGGGGAGTATTGGGGGGGGGGGCTCCATAGCAACAAACCGGCTCCACGGCATTATTGGTAGGTGCCTCCCTCCGCCGTTGCACGCGTTTGGGCGGATTCGTGCTTTTGTTCTAATCCCGTGTGCAGGTTGAGCCGAATGGGACGCGACGCGAACACGTGATTGCATTGCACCTGCAACCTTGACTGACATGTTCGCATGCTGCAAGGTGATGCTGACTCCCCCACTGGAAGCTCACCCGACCTTATGAACGCATGTAAATGGACGCATCGGTGGGCTTGTGGCTGGGGTCAAAGACTGACTGGACCTGGAGGCTGCTGCCTGCTGTCTTGACCTCTACTCAGGATCCACCCGGAGATTTTGGATGATTTTGTCTCAAAATTACTTCCATCTTTCCATAAAATGACAACAAATTCAGTTTCTTTGACTCCAAATGAAGATTTGTCAGTGTGAAATGATCATTCTGCAGTGTATTGGCATCAAAGAATCCTTGATTTTCAAGGCTTCCTATTACTGTCCATAAAGCCTGCACACAAAATGCTAATTTGTGGCCACGAAACAGAGAAAAAGCACATTTTTCAGACTTTATAGAGGCTCAGTAGTACAGTATTTTACCTCTTTGCTTCTTTTCAGGGTTCAAGTGGATTCTCAGCTTTCCCACCGGAATCTTCCCATCTCCTGAAATCACCTCGCAAAAGTACTTGAATGGCTTTCTAGAAACATCCCCGAGTGATCCTCTCAAAATCTCGCATCTCATTGGAATCAAAATGAGTCTCAAGTAGCGGGGAACGTGGACCCGATCCCGACAGGAAGACCATGGAGCTGGAGCATTTTGATGAACGCGACAAGGTCCGCCGAGGGCGCGCCGTTCGGGCGAAACGAGACGACTCGGGCCCGAGCTCGCGCGGCAGCAGCCTGGTTCCGAGCCCGGCGCACAGCACCAACTGCAGCTACTACCGCACGCGCACTCTGCAGGCGCTCACCTTGGAGAAGCGTGCCAAGAAGGTGCGCTTCTACCGCAACGGCGACCGCTCTTTTAAAGGGCTGGTGTACGCCGTTTCCAGCGACCGCTTCCGCTCGTACGACGCCCTGCTCGTGGAGCTGACCCGCTCGCTGGCCGACAACCTCCACCTGCCGCAAGGGGTGCGGACCATCTACACCATTGATGGCGCAAAGAAGATCACCAGCATGGACGAGCTGGTGGAAGGTTAGCTACACGTGCAAGCAGTATCACGATACAGTATTCTGTTAGCGATCCCGTGGGATGAGTTCCTTGAGATGCGAGAGAGCTGATTTACAGCTTCCATTAGCTAAATGCTAATGCACAATAAAACACTGATAGACAGATATAAACCTTAAAGTGACAGATACTTGAAAAACAAGCAGTGCATCAAAATGTCAGACATCAGACATAAGACTCATGCGCATATGTTCTTTATCCTCTGCAAAGAATGACTAATATTACCACAGCTTATTGAGGAGCTGAGGCTGTCTCCATGTGTAGTATAATATATACCGATTTGAAAATTGCATTCCACTGCCTTGCAATGTCGATCTGAATCAGATGGATTGTTTCAGCCCTTACACGCAGCAATCTTTAGCTTTTTCCGCTTTGCATGAAATACTTTCCGGATGTGCTTTATGGAGACTCAAAGGAGTCCAGCTCAGGCACTTGAAGTGCTCCTTTCTCTCCACTCATCAATATTAATGACTGTAAAGTTCGTTAATGAGCACTAATGTACGGAAACTAAGTCTGATGCATCATCACTTTGTGACATAAAGATGACAGTACATACGACTAGCCACAAAAAAAGTCACGCGCTCTCTGTCAGGTTCTCTTGGAAAGGTTGAAGTGCATTTTTGGCTCATCTTGAACTCTTACTTCAAAGTCCCGAATCGCCAACTTTCAAAAAGTAGCGCAAGGTCATGACTCACGTCTCTCCGCTCAGGTGAGTGCTACGTTTGCGCCTCCAACCAGCCTTACCGTAAAGTGGACTACACCAAGATCTCCGTGCCGAGTTGGAAACCCGGCGCTGGTTCCGGGAGCGGCGTGGCAAGTTTGAGCAGGCCTTCGGCTGCGTCTGCGGTCGGCGTCGGCGGGAGCGGTAAAGAGCGCCCCGAGGGCCGAGAGAGCAAAGACTTCATCAAGCCCAAGCTGGTGACGGTGATCCGAAGCGGCGTCAAGCCGCGCAAGGCGGTGCGGATCCTTCTGAACAAGAAGACGGCTCACTCCTTCGAACAAGTGCTGGCCGACATCACGGAGGCCATCAAGTTGGACTCGGGAGCCGTCAAGCGGCTGTACACGCTGGACGGAAAACAGGTGAGCTCAGTTTCTACCTAGGAACACAAAACGGGCCATCTAAAATGGAGAAACTTAACTTCATTGTTGAGATTTTACCTTCAAAGCGTTTCAAGCCGTGTGACAGCCAAACATGTTTGAAGATACTTTCATCTCTCCCCGCACGGACTAAATGCATCACATGGGTCTATTTTTAAAACATACACGCACAGACAGAGAAGGAAGGAAAAAAAATCAGTTGGCGAGACTGAAACTGAAGGTAACAGAGTGCAGCCAATAAAGGTTAAGCAGCGTATGTTTTTTTTTTTGTGTGTGTGTGCAGTTGACCTGTCTGCAGGATTTCTTCGGGGACGACGACGTATTCATGGCGTGCGGGCTGGAGAAGTTTCGCTACGCTCAGGACGACTTTGTGCTCACTCATGGTGGCAAGACGGCGGCCTTCGTTAATGGTCTCACGCACTCACACAGTCACGCGCACACAAAACTGTGCGAAAAAGAAAGTCAATGTACTCTCAAAAAGTTGGAACAGGGTTCCCACGGGTTCTTAAAATTCATAAAAATCCATAAAAAAGAAGTTGTAAAATTATGTTCTTAATTGTCCTTAATTTTCAGGGAAAGCTTCTAAAATCAATAATAATCCTTAAAAAAATAATTTTTATTCAAAAATAAATTGGAGTTTTATATTTTCTAAATTAAAAATATTCTTTGTGTACTTTATATGAGAATGAATTCATTTTTTTTTTTTCAGAACGCATATTGCTGAGCGGGCATTAAATCCACTGTGAAATCCCTGCTGAATGGAGAAAAAGTCCTTAAAATGGCTAAATTAGGCCTCAAAAGTCCTTAAAAGGTCCATAAATAAAAAACAAGTGGAAGAGTGGGAACCCTGTGGAAATATTGGTCAAATTTGAACACAATTTCCAGTATCCCCAACTTTTTTTGTGACCGCTGTAATTCAACTTGTCTCCCGTTTTTCAGAGTGCCGAGTCAAATCGACTCGTCCCACCGCCTCTCAGAAGACTCCGACTCCCAAGAGTTCCAGCGGCTCTGGTTTGGCCTCCTCCAAGGCTTCAGCAAAAGCTGTGCCTCAGTCCAGGTCACCGGAATTAGGTAAGATACGAGAAACCTTTTTTCCAGTTTGGACAAGACGGTTTTCTTCCGTCACAGAACAACGTCCTTTCCTCTTCCTCCTGCAGCCAATGAGGAGTCAGAATCGCAGGTCCTCGCAAAGTCGTCCAGATCGAGCCCTTCCCCTACGAGTCCCGGGACGCGCAGCAGCCTCAAGGTGGGCTCTTCATTAAAATTGAAATATCTCTTCATCTCGTCTTCACCGACC